CCCTCATGGCAGAGCTGATGAGTCATGTCCATTTTGCAAAAACTAATTTCCGTGGAAACTCTTTGTTTGTGGGCGCTGATGGTTGACTGAAATGTGACACCACACCGATTGGCTTCCTGCCTCGTGCAGGTTTGTTCGTGTACAAAAAGGTTCTCTGTCCAATCTAGCAGTGTAGTCACAAGACAATCTATATGAGAAATGAAAACCTGCACCCCTGTTACTTGTTGTGTACAATGTTTTTTAGAATCTCACTATTTTTGGATTAATTTGTGCTGGTGACAGTTCCATTGTCTATTATTATGATGATATTATTATGGAGCTTTTATTTTATTGCTATTTTTGTGTAGGATAGTTTTTATTTTCTCTCTTATTTTATCTTCCTTATCATAAACATATAGTACTGGTTTCCTTTTTTTAAAACAACTTGCTGAAAATTGCACGATCAGTTATTGTGGTATTAGCAAATGCAATGAAGGAAATACCAGTTAAATGCTGCAATTTTAATTAAGATATAGAATATATTTATAAAAATGGGAAACAACTGAAATTAGTAATTCATGAAATTTGAAAAAAAAAGTAAATGCATGGGATACAGGTAACAACAAAACTTATGTTACGTACAGTAATGATAAAGGACATGCATCACAAATGAGTTTGAAAACAACTCAGAATAATGTAGCATATGAAATACTAAAGATGAAATTTATAGCTAATATATTGTGTTGAGCTAGTCTGCTTTGGGTTTTTGTTGTAAAGAAAATATTTCTTTTTGTTGTTTTTTTTGAGAATGATATACAATTTGTGTATATTTTCATATACAAAGTATGCACTGATATGTTATTGAAATTCTATACCGCTTTTACAAAAAAAGTGTTTGTTGTACCAAAGTATCCAAGTCCCTTGAAACCTTACCCTTTTTGCGTATGTTTTACCGTATTTTATATATTAAATAGACAAACTGAGTGAAATTAATTTGAGTTTGTGGTTTTGTTTTTATATTTACTGTGTTAGAAAGCAAAAGTGCCTCTGACATAGATCATGAAGACTAAATCAGAAACTTTTGGTTTGAGTAAAATCTAGAAATTTTTATAAATTGACCAAAAATGTCACTCAACCTATTTTCAGAAGTGCAGAAAGTGTTTGTCCTCTATTATTTTATCTTTTTTCCTCTTCATTCTCAGCTCATTGTCACAGTTACAAACACGTGTGATGAAGCTTCATTTCACACATTCAGTGATAACTACACGGCTATATTTAGCTGATCTCTTATGACCTCCCGTGACTGAACAATAATTTAACCCAAGAGCAATAACAAACTTCTGTCATGTGATCATTTACCCAACTTTAATATTACTATTTTTTTTGTCTGATGTTGTGCTTTTTAAGCTGTCAATAAAATTTGCATAAGTAAAAGCAACAATACTACAATAAAAAAATAGATTACCAGATAATGTATTAATAGCAAAAGAAAACTGACCTGAGAGCATCATATTATTACTGCTTTGATAATCAATTAATCATTTAAAATGCCAGAAATTCTTTGGTTTTAGCTTCTTAAAAGTAACAATTTTCTAGTTTTCTTAGTGTTCTGTAATACTCAACTAGATATCTTCAGATGTTGGACAAAACAAGACATTTGAAGTTATCACCTTAAGCTCTGGGATATTGTGATGGACATTTTATTGACCAAGTTATCACTCAAAGTAAGACAGACTAATCAATAAAGAAAATGTTAGTTAAGACATTATGTAATTATTACTACAAATGTATGACTGTGCAAGTAACTTTTTACTGTTGTTGGTTCCAGTAAAGTACTTTATGTAATTTTGGGTAACTTAAGTAATAGCAATACATATTTGTAAGATGATTACAGGTTTCCTATCTAAATCTTAATCTAATATATGTTTATTAGAAAACGGGGGAAAAAGTATCACATTTACCTGTAAAAGAAACATAAAATGTAACTACCTAAGTACAATACTTTAAAAGGTGTACTCAGTTAGATTCCACTACTGATAGTTGGTAAACATTGTAAAGTGATACATGTGTAGTTTTGTTTATCGTCCTTAGCCTTATAACCATTAAAAACAGTCAAACTTTTTTGAATTTTTTTTTTTTTTTTTTTTCCGTGATTAAAAGTGACAGCCAATATGTGTAAGAGTTCATTTTCAGGGTCACTTTTCTGGTGTTTTCATAGACTTGGACCTGCTTTCAATCCTCAATCCTCCAATAAAATAAAATGTTTCTATTTATTTCACACTGTGCTCAGAATTAAACTTTTAACTGCTGTAGGAATGTTGTTTGTACAGAAGGACAAAAGGTTTGACATTGCAGCTGTATTTGTATCACTTTCCAGTGGTGGACTGTAACAAAGTACATTTGTTCAGGTACTTCAACTTAAAGGCTCTCTAAGTCTTCCTAAGCTTGAAAAGTTTTGTCACATAGAGCAAACATCTCCTCACGATCCGCTAGCTACATGTCCTCTGAATATGCTGTGAACAAGTCCGGTCTCTGTAGGCAGCCCAGGCTCCGCAATGGCAACAAAAACATTTTGGTCCAGGCTGCACCAACCAGCCAGCACGAGACCAGTGAAAGCAAGCATACACACATGAATGCGGTGCCCAGAGAAGCAGTTAGAGCTACAGGCTACAATGAAGCTAAAAGGCGAGCTAGCTCTCTGTTTGATAACACTGTTGAACGTAAACAGAAGTGAAATGTTTTTGTTGCCATTTGCGGAGCCTGGGCTGCCTACAGAGACTGGACTTTTTCACAGCATATTCAGAGGACATGTAGCTAGCAGATCGTGTGGAGATGTTTGCTGTGTGTGACAAAAACTTTTCAAGCTTAGGAAGACTTAGAGAGCCTTTAAGTCTTTAGTATGACATTTAAAATATCATAAAAAGTCTTAGTTTACTATGCAATAATGATTTCCTGATTTAGTGTGTCATTAAAAATTTCATTTAAAAAATGTCAGTGCTATAAGTTATGAAAACATCATAAGTGATGGCATATTATATTTAAAATTTAACTTAAAAAGTGTTACAAAAACGTCAGAGTATGGTATTTCGTAAAAATGTAATGAAGTAATAGTTAACTATGCAAAAAAGTGTCATAGTATAGTATCTCATGGAAATGTTAAAATAAAAAAGTCATACTATGTCATAAAAATGTAAATTAAAAAAATCTTAGTATGTCATAAAAATGTAAAAAAAAAAAAAGTCATGATAAAATAAATATTTAAAAAAGTCAAAGTGTAGCATGTCATAACGTAGAAAAAAAGTCAAAGTATGGCATGTCACAAAAGTCATGATACAATAAAAAATATTTTAAAGTCATGGTATAGCATGTCATAAAAAATGTATGACAAAAAAGGTCATGGTATAGTAAAGAATGTTTTTGTTTTTTTAAAGTCATAGTATAGCATGTTATAACATGTAAAAAAAGTCAGTATAGTATGTCACAAAATATGTTAAAAAAAAGTAACATGTCAAAAATGTAAAAAAAAAAAGAATCATAGTATGTCATAAAAAATGTAATAAAAAATAGTCTAAATCATCCTATCGACATTAAAAGTAGTTCTAAATGAGCATTCAAAAATATGTTTTACCACAAGATGGCTCCTTGTAGTGGGCTAATTATGATTATTTGGTATTTTAACTCTGCAAACAAATCTGTCCACCCGCTAATAAATTCTTGATTTTCCTCCGAGTCTTTTACTTCCATGGATTTAGAATCCATTCCTAGTCTAGCTAGGGGACACTCAAGACTCCCCACTGCTGCTGAGGTTTGGCACAATTTAGAGGAAAAGGTGCCTGGCCGCAGACAGATGACGCTCATTTTAGCTGATGAAATGTTAAAACTTTTTTAATTAATGCATAGGCTACACATTTTTACAACTGGAGAGTAAGACTTTTTTGAGGCCTTCAAAAATTTATAAATATAAATTAATAACTTATTCATTGAATGTGATTTTATTTTTCCAAAGCCACAGAGAGCCACAGGAGAGGGGTTAAAGAGTCGCATATGGCTCCAGAGCCTCTGGTATAACGTCATAAAAAATGTAGAAAATGTCATAGTAAAGTATGTCATAAAAAATTGTCATAGTACAGTATCACATAAAAATGTTTATAAAATCTCATTGATCTCATCTCTCTCTCTCTGATCTGAGGTCCTCTTGGGAGGGATCTCTAAGACTGCACTGAAGGTGGGTAATAAGTGATGTCATAGGCCACTGGGTTTAAAGTGCACAGGGATGTGGTGTTTGTTGAAGATTCTCCTGCGACACAAGGAATGACAATGCTTCGTTTTTGTGTCTCTTCCTCGCTGTCTGCTCTGGGACTTTTAGAGGTTTTAAACCCAGTAACACACTGAGACAGAAACCTGTCCACCCCAAGGACAAAACACCCAGACATTAGCAGAGTAATGTAGTGTATGCAGTTCAGTGCAGCCAGGAATGCACAGAATCATACAGTGGGGAAACAAAACAACCACTCCACAGGGGCATGGCACAACACAGGAGAGCCAGCTCCTCAGGTCAAGACTCAGCTGTCCACTTACATCTATCTACAGGAGAAGGGACACTCTTGAGGACAGCAATGTGCCCATCTTGGCCAAAGAAAAAAGATGGTTTGAAAGAGGAGTAAAAGAAGCCATCGTTGGTCTATGACACCACTTATCACCCACCTACAATGCAGTCTTGGGATCCCTCCCCAGACGATTTCACGCAACTGTTTTTCCGTATCTGAACTTTGACCATGACATTGCAGTTTTTTTCTTCACCACAACAGTTTACCTTCATTTGTTGTTGTTCAAGACTGGCCACATTTTTTGAGGTTTTGAATTTGGGCACAGACTATATGATCTTGTTGAAACTTGCCTCATGAATCATGATCGGAGCAGACCAACATTTGCAACTTTCATAAAATAATGTTTTTTGTTTCTGTCTGTCAGATCATCAGCGAAGTGTCATTTGGATCTGAATCATCAGCTGCTGCACAGTGTTGAGTATCATTTGTTTTTGCTTTATTGAACTTATTCAAAATCCCAAATGTTGGTTTGAATTTCACTCATACACTAAAAAAGTTCCTTCAAAAGAAAGAAAGGAAACAGCCTGACAAAGCTGTTATAAACAAAGAAAAGCTTTTGATCAGTAAAACAAAGATGCATTCAACAGTCTCACTTATAAATAAAAAGACTACCATTAGTATTAGTTGTGTGATGACAAAATAAAAACGGGAAAATTCATAAGACAATTTCATAACTCAGTCTCATATAAAACATTTTTATCATTTACTTCTGATATCCAACTCACTTTTGGCTGTACATTTTTCATATCTTACTTTTCTGTCTTCATTTTGCTGCATCACATCCAAACACTGGGTGCTGTACACCAACACACTTCCTGCTCACAAACTCACATGATGGAAGCTCAGTGAAATTAATAACACACTGTAAAAAGAGGCCTCATTCAGACCACATCTCTTTTTTTTAATATGCACACACATAAGAGCTTTTTTGTTGTATGTAAACTTTTTCAACTTCCTCTCTTAACTTGCATGTGTATATTGTTGGATTTCTTCATGTATGTATACATTTAATTTAATTTACAAATAAACCCACAACCCACTTCATGTCACTGATTTCTTTGTTAAGAAAGGCAAAAGAAATGATCAAACACTTAAAGTTATAATCCTTGCGATTTTCACTTAACATTTTTTGGGTGGTGGCGGGATCCGCCATCCCTGACTGCCTTCATAAACACAAGGGACTCACGGAAAATGATGCATGTATGTGATCCAATGTGATTTCATCTCACTGATGAACAGTCACAATGTGCTGAGGCAAACTTGACACTTCCTGCTGCTGCTTCAAATTAAAAGCATTCAACTGGAGAATCACACAGTGGCTTTTATTGTGACACAGCCACAGGAAATGCAAAATCTTTGTCACCATGGTTTTTTTTTTAACAGTGGCTAATTATTGATTTAAAAGTAAAAATAGCTGTTAAAGGAGTGTTTGCTGTAGTACAAACAGCAGTTGTTGTTACCATGGCAACCACAGGTGTCGCCAAATCAACCAGGTCTGAAATCTGAAGGATTACAACTTTAAAAGGACACCGAAGGAACAAGACACGGCGTCTGGCTTAGCGTTTTTGTGTCATGATATTAAAAAGTGTTTTGCAGTTGTTGGTCTCTGAGCTCCTCACCGCCTCTTTGGTCGTCACCATTTAACCCCACCAGCGCTGCCTGGGAGGAGCTGTCGTAGGAGGTTCCACATCGAAAATCGCCCCTTGTCCGACCGACGAGCAGACGTAGTACAGGTTGACGCCCAGCATGACCAGTATTGGGAAGAAGGAGAAGCCGAAGCCGAGGCCCCTGATGCTGCTGTCCAGAGAGAGGCAGAGCCAGTAGATCAGCCTGCAGCACAGAAAATAACACAAGTGATTAGAGGCACATAATACGGATTTACTCCATTGTCTCTGTCTGACATTTATTTATAATCAGCTTCATTTGGATAAATAATGACAAAAAGATCTGATCGACACCCACATCAGCCCACACACAGACTCTCCCCTTTCAGCAGGAACATTAGATGACCTCGCTCCTTCACACCTTTCATCAGTTTGTATGTCAAGTGCTCCATGACTCAAAGGATCTACACTGATAAATGAATAGATGCTTTTTTTTACTTGTTCTAATTTTCCCTAAATATGTTTTTGATTCTGCCTGAGAATACTTTTTTAGAGTCTGATTGTTCAAGTCATATACATTATTAACATAAATTTGTATTTAAATGCAATATGACGAATACTGTGTATGAGTCTGTATCCAAGATGATTTTGGGACTAGATTGCCAATGTACATAACTAAATAAAATATTTAAATCTGAAGTACCGTACTGTAATTATGCTGAATTACACTGCACAAGCTGTGTGGAGGTTTGTAAACAGATGTTTTGATATACAGTAGTTTTGCTGTTGTTAACTGCAGACCCCTGTGACTCCATTTCTTAAAAAATATTCTCCGTTTTTGGATTCTTTGTTCACTGTGGAGACAAACGAGAAACAAAGTTTTCTTCATGATATCAAAGCAACAAAGGGCGAGTATTTGCTACACAAATGGTCATTTGGGGGATGAAGTGCTTCTTTAGTATCTCTTCCTGTGTAAATGCAAACTGGAAAAGAAAAGACTTTGTTAACCTCATGAGTAAATAAATGAATTGGGCATGCAGCCTTATGAGTCATCAGGTTCAAAACACATCTTCAGTTTAACGAGTACATGTATAAGCGGAAAAGATGACTGTATTCAAAAGGACTGCTGCAACTGTCCATCTACTCTGTGAAACTTTCATCTGTGGCCATGCATGCAAAGTTATAACAGGAAGTAGGTAGTGCTCCCACACACAAGTGGTGTAGACAGTATGGTTAAACTGAGGATTTGTATTAATCCTTCCTGATCAGCTCACTGTGTGTTGTAAAGATGTGTGTTAGCAGTGTCATGCTGAGAAGGAGAAATGTAATTCTCATTGGAATGAACAACTTAAAGTACAGAAGGCCAATTCTTTTCGCCTCGACTCACACATTCATTTAACTGACAAACCCAGCATGAGCTCTCAGCAGGAAACAACACTGTATCTGTCGCTGATATTCATTTGGCTGTTTCAACCACATCAAAGTTCGCCAACGTTAACAGGAGGATTTCACAAGCTAGACAGTTATTTCAATATTCCGAAGACCCACAGATCATTTCATTCCTGAGCCAAAGTGCAACTAAAACTTATTATAGCACCAAGCAGCGTATCAGTCATTTTAGGGAGGACGTGCTTAAAAGTTAAAAACATTTTGAAATATCCACTGTTGTGTACTTAAAAATTAAAATAGCCATTATCACATAAAAAGCTTTGTTTATTTTCATGAAGATAAAAATATTTACGGTTTGGATCACAAAGGCCTTGTTTTAAATGAGTACTAAAAAAATTCCATCAGCCTCAACTGCACTTTGTGTTTAGTGCTTATTAGCATTAGTTAGCATGCTGACACACTTAACATGGATTATGATTATAGTGGACATTATACCTGCAAAGCATCAGCATCTTATCATTGTTGCTGTGAGAATGTTAGCATGCTAATGCTATCATTTACCTCAAAGTACAACCTCGCAGAGCTGCTGGTTTGACTATAGACAGTCACATTAGTGGCTTTTGAAAAACAGAAATATTTTTTTCAATTATGATATGAATATCTACAGATGCAGCCACTTAGAATTTCCCATTCCTCCGTGATGGGGCCCAGGCAGATCCATGACAGATCCCCGCTGGGATCCTGCTCAGTCCTTGGCTGGCCCTTGGCTGAAATGAGATTGTGTGCGTCTACAGTTAAATCTAGACTTACCCTGTCAGGAAACCAGTGGCTGGGTGACTGGCAGCCAGCTGGCAGCCGAAAGGCTTTCAGCTGGACGGGAAATTCTAGGTGGATCTGTATATTCCAGCTCCGTCTGTATATTTTCCCTCGTAAAGGAACTTTGACTCATCGGTTTTGTGGTGTTGTATAACTATTAAAAATACTACCATGATTGTTTTTTGTCCTTCTAGATTTCCTCGAGCCATGGGAACTTTCAAATATTTGTTTGTGTCACCTCTTTATTTATACCTGCCATTTGTACTAGTGTCTTATGGCCTTTGCTGCTGCCATACATATTTACTGTCTGATTTTTTATTTATTTATTGTTTTCATTTAACCTGACAAAGTCTGGTAAGTTGTTGCCTCTGCAAGTGAACATCTCTTTGACACTAGACTAGTTGCACCTGTCAACGGAAGGAAAAATCAATTTGTAGAAATAACCATAAACTGTATTATTAAAGTATAATCCTGCAAACATGTAATAACCAAACCAACACTTAGAATCATCTGTCCATTCACAGATGGATCTTTAACATTAAAAGGTTAACAGCAAGCACACATACCTGCCAAAAACAAAAATGATAGTGAGAAGTGGCACCAGTTTGACCAGGTCCTGGCTGATGTATGTTGCCATGACAGCCAGCTGTAGGAAGTAGAAGAGGAAGAGGGCCAGCGATTCGTTGATGTAATGCCAGTGCACCGCCACCTCTCTGTTCACCAGCTTAGTCTGGTAGAGGGGCTTCAGGGAGCTGTAGCGCAGCCGGGCCACGCCCTGCACCACCACACCTGCAGAAGGACAGTGTGAGTGTCAGTATTACCTGGTTTTATTCTGTTGAAGTTTTACAGTGTTCATTTTAGATTATATTAGGTGTTTTAATGTATGAATAACTAAAACATGAGGTCTTACCAAGCAAGATGGGGATGATGGCGAAAAAGGAGCAGCGCAGAGTGTACACCACCCTGAGGGGGGTGCTCTGCAGCAGTGGTGAGTCAAAGGGAAGGAGGGCGTAACCTCCCCACACCAGGAGAGGGAAGAGGATCCCTGCAGCCGCAGTCGCCAGAGCCAGCCTCAGTTTTTCACTACACAGACGCTCACACAAGTCTAAAGATGGAGAATGAATCATTTAATACAATGTGCCTCATTTCTGTCTGTATTGGGACAGCACTGTGACAGCGAGACAAAGAGAATGAGACGGAAATCATAGCATGATTCATCTCAAGACATGTAATTATGTCTGATTGAGGAGAAAAGACATCATAACGCAGTGACACACTTACTTACTGAGTGAAAATGTGCTTCAGAAAAACACTTTAAACTGCCTGGATTAAAACAAACACAGCAATCTGATATGTGACCAGCTAATCAAATTATAATTATTCATTTAAAACCCTCCCTTCTAAGAATATACTTAAAATCTTATCTGTGCCTGGCTGCAGGGACTAAATTATTTAAAATCCACAGCACAGCGGGCTCTGATATTCCTCACATTTGGAGACAAGAAGATTATGTTCCCTTCTTCTTCTCAAAAAGAACAAAACAAGATTTAGAATTACAATGACGGAGTGGCTTTTGAGCATCTGTTTTAATGATAATCTTACTTAATCTGGCCTTAATTTGATTTGATATCCGTTGAAAGAGGATATTTGGCCAGGAAATCACTAAACAGTTAGTAAAGAAGGATTAGGGGGTTTAAGAAATCTGATGCTTGGGTGGTCTGGAGGGTTTAAGGCACTAATCACGAGCTGCAACACCTCTGGTTTGAGATGAAACAGACACCTTTGTCATTCCTTTATCTCTCCCTTCATCTCTACTGTCTCACCAATAAAATGCCCATAAACGACTTGAAACAGCAGACATTTCCACTTGTCATAGTAGAAAACGCACAGGTGTTACCACCGCGTCCATTATAATCAACTGAAGCTGCTACACTGACCACAGACGCCAAGCTTGCCAATGCAGGAACCGTGCTGCTTGATGTTAATTTTAAGTGGCTGGTCTATTTATTTTTCTTGGCGTGGCTCAAACAGGTAAAAACACAGAGCAAACATAGAACTGTGTAATAATGATTACAATCTGTTTAAAGATGAAGCAGCAGATTAACCTTGTGTGTGTTTTTACATTTCACATTAACATAAATCGATGCACCCTGTCGTTGTTAAAACAATCCAGTTAATTAATTCAGCCCCACTTAATGAAGCCAACACTTCCAAACCCTGCATAATCAGCTGCATTATCACTTGGCGAAACTCAATTCACACACAGTGAAGCTGGCAGTAATCACACGCTACAGAGATGGAGTCTAAAAAAAAGAAACGTGACATGTCCCTACCCCATGTTTTTCAGCTGTTAGACTTAGGTGAGGTAGTTTCTTTCTACCCAACTTCACCTGCCAACCGTATCACTGTGCAGAAAGATGAGTGCATTTAAAGCTAGCACACCTAGCACCACTGAGCTAGTTTCACTTCAGCCGAGGAGGACGGTTTTTATGTTTAAATCTCACACTGTCACAACCACGATTTTCTCGTCCATGAGTAGATGCACGCTTCCTTCTGAGCGGTGATACGGTTGGCAGGTGTAGTTCAGTGGAAAGAAAATAGTTCCTACATGAAACTGCTCACAACAAGCTCTGCGGATTATCATGAATAACTGTGTCATGATTTCTGGAAAGAGACATTGCTGCTGAGTTTTTCAAATATTTTTTTGGGGCGCTTCAAGCCGAGTGCCATCTAGTTCCATGATATTCAAGTGAAGGCAGACATCTCTACGGAAGATATCTCCAACATTCTGCAACTCACAACAAAGCAATCTAAAAAAATACCAGTACAGGTAAAATGAAAAATATGTATTTTTAATTTTTGAGGTGCTGTCTCTTTAATAATTCATTTTTAATCCCTATTTCTACACTTTGATGTTATATTAGATTGCTGTTAATTTCATTGGTTAAATTAAACGTGTTTTTTTCCCTGTTGGACAATGTGCAGATGAAGTGTACATCAGTCTCTGATTGGCTGTTCCTGCTCAAGTTAACATATGCTCAATGCTGTGACGACTCTTTAAAGGTCTAGTTTGTACGATTTAGGGACATCTATTGGCAAAAATTGAATATTCATTACTATGTTTTCATTAGTTTACAATCACCTGAAAATAAGAATTGTGCTTTCGTTACCTAAGAATGAACCGTTTATATTTACATACCCAGCAGGTCCTCGTCCACGGTGTCTGCCATGTTGTTTTAAAGCAACTCAGAAGGGACAAATCAAACACTGGCTCTAGATAGGGCCATTCGCAATTTTGTGTTGGCTGCCGTAGTTCCTCCTACACGCTTGTTCTAGTTCAGCAACCACATCACTAGATGCCACTAAATCCTGTGCACTAGACTTATTTGACGAATAACTTTTTACTCCTATGTTTGTTTTTTATGTAATTCTTGATAAACATGGGTCCAGAGATGCAGTAAAGTCTAGTTTGTGTATATATACTCACAGTACTTGTCGTCCTGTTCTGTCCATTCTGGATAAAACTGTGCTGCTGAGTCAGGCTCCATCTGTGGCTCCTTCTCGATGTCCTTGTCTATGTATAGCTTGCTCTCCTCAGGAAACTCTTTGCTGGACGGACGCACAATCATGACATGTGGAGTGAAACCCAGAGCAGCTTTCTCTGAGATCCAATTCGTCTCTCCTTCGTCATCGTCCTCCTCCTCCTCCTCTTCATCGTCTGCCAGTGAGCCGTCTCCTTTATCATCCCGCTGCACCTCCATCTCATCGTCCCTCCACTTCTCGCCCTCAGGCATACTCTCCCTCCACTTGCTCTTTCTGTTGCTCTCTGCCTGGCTCCGCTCCTCTGACAGGTCCTGGCTTCCTCCGCTGATCCCTGTGTCCCTCTCTTCAGGCTCCGAAACTCCTTTATCTGACCAGACTCCCCCATCGTTGTCTGTCTGAGGCCTCTTGTCTTTGTCCCCAGGCCATGGCAGAGTGCTCGGCTCCAGATGTGCAGAGCTGGTCACTTCTTCTTCTTCTTCTTCTTCCTCCTCCTCCTCCCTCGAGTCCTCTCCTTCTTCCTCATCTGTAACCTCACTTCCTTTATCTATGCTGTTGCTTTCTTCTGGCTTTTTACTTCCTCCTGTTTGTGGCTCTGTAGGTGAAAGTGTCACCTCTTCAGGTAAATCTGTGACTAAACCACCTGGTCCAGACATTTTTAAATTCAGTTTTCTCTCTTTTCAGTCAATACCCGTTGCAATATCAAGAGTCTGGCTTTTAGCAAAGCTTCTTCTAGTTGCTGAAAGTCATTTTTGGTCACCTTTGTTGACTTCTGTGCAAGAGGAGAAAAAGTTACAACCATGTTTGAAACAATGTCCTGCTCCACCTTCAGCTTCAAAAAAAAAGAAAGAAATCAAAGTTCACTGTTTATCATGGGTGTGTTGCCCTATATGGCTTGTCCTGCCCCTGCACAGGCCAACACTGTGTGTACATGTTTCTGTAGCTGTCAGACAAATCCAGTGAGAGTGAATCAGAAGCGTTGTTGATATATCAGCACTGAATATGTCCAATTATGTGAAGGACATGACAGAAATACATCTTTTTACTACTGTTAAAATAAAGCCCAAATCATACTTTAAGTTCACAGTTCACTCCAAAATCAAAAATGCATACTTTTCCTCTTACCTGTAGTGCTATTTAGCAGTCTAGATTGTTTTGGTGTGAGTTGCAGAGTGTCTGAGATATTGGCCGTAGAGATGCCTGCCTTCTCTCGACTATAATGTAACTAGATGGCACTTGGCTTGTGGTGCTCAAAGCGCTAAAAACATACATTTGAAAAACTCAACAGCAATGTCTCTTTACAGATATCATGACTCTGTTACTCACGATAATCCACAGACCTTGTTGTGTGCAGTTTAATGTCGGAACTATTTTCTCTCCACCAAACTACACCCGCCAATCGTATCATCATGCAGAAGGAAGCGTGCATCTACTGCTAGCTCACCTGGCACTAGTAGGCTACTTCATATCATGTGAGATGAAATTGTACTGAGCGTGTCTGGGACTGCGAAACAGTAAAATGTCAGTAGCGTAGGATGTAATCGACAATCTGTAATCTTAAAATGCAAAATCTAGAAACATTAAAAACACAATCCAAAAATTCACTGTCATCTGAGACTTAAATTACGTGCAGGTATCATGGAGCTATGCGCCTATGTGACATTAGCATAGAGTACTTTTTCTTATTTAGTTGGATGATGATGAATGTGTCACATAAAACACCTTAAAGTGATGCCAGACTGTTTCTGCTTCTGAAGTAAAGACTGGAAAAGTAGTTAATGACTGATGAGGTCGATATGACCGAAATGTGGCATTTTTAATAACGGGAGCCAGTTAACAGTGTGTGGATTATTTTACTAATAAAATATAATCTGTTATATCCTCGTTCTGATCACATAGGTGTCTCATGTTATTTTGAGCTGCAGTGATGGAGTCAGAGTGTAAAAGAAGCGGCACCATCACTGTGGACTAAAATAAACTTAATCATTTCAAATCCCGCTAAAATCACGTGGTTAATGTTGTAAACGATCTCTCCGTTTGTTAGAAGCTCTGTTTTAAACCAGTGGAAAAAGAGCTCTAGAAGAACTCTTTTTACCTGTCACTCTGGACTTTCGCTCATGGGTACTTTTTCTTTAGTGATCTGACTGGTCAGTGGTTGGGGTGTTGACAGGCTGTGATCCAATACTCCACTTCAGCATACGTTGCCATGGTGATTTATCACAGTAAAAAGTGGACCAGCTTCATAGTACTGAAAACCCAGATTTTACCCCAAAGTTACCTTGCTACCTTGATGTAGCAATTTTATTGATGTAGCAATTTCATTTTATCTTTTATTTATCTATTATTATCTATAATTTTTATATTTTATTTTTTCTCTTTAATCTTATTCTATTTAATGTCCTTTGGTTTTGTCTTGTGCTGCTGTGATACTTGAATGTCCCCCCTGGGGAATCAATAAAGTATATCTTACCTTAACTTCAAATCCTGCTTAGTAGTACAGGCCTCTGGTCATGATTTCCAGACAGGGACACTGTTGTTTGGTCTTTCAAAAGTATTTTCATGGTACTTTCATGGTACGAGCAAAATGCCATCTAGTTCCATTACATTAGAGAGAAGGCACACATCTCTGCGGCTGATATCTCCAACACTCAGCAACTCACACCAAAACACTAAATTGATAAATAGCACCACAGGTAAGAGGAAAAATATGTTTTTTTTTAAATGTCCCTTTACAACCGAAAATAACATCCACGTTATAGCTGCAACTAACTTTGTCAATTAACCAGTTAATTATTTGGTGTTTGTAACATCTTCGATCTACTTGTACTGTCAAGTTTAAAACTCAAAGTCATTCAGTTTACTAACACAGAAGACAAACTAATTTTGGTATTTTGCTTGAGAAATAACTTAAAGGAATAACTGATTATTGATCACTTTCATTCTAATTTAGGGGAATTCGCCTTGGACCCTGCACTGCAATTCAATTCAATTCATACAATAAACACAAATTAAAGACATAAGATTAGCCTATATTCTTTAAAAAAAGGGGGGGAAAGTTACACAAAGTACATACAGTACGAGCGTTAAAAACAAATGCCTATTGCACAAACCCCTGGGCCAGATGATGCACCTTTAAATTTAAAATACCAACATTAACATCTCCCCAAAACTGACACCCCAAACTGTAATGTTAACAATTTGTAAAACATGCAGCCTCTTAAAGATTTGCAGAGAAAGTATTTTACAATTCAGGATTGACAACAGCGTGATACTTGTTAACTAAATCCATGCTTCCACCAGACAAGATCCAAAATAAATATATTTGAAATTCACTTGTACTTGACTTATCTGTGCCATGTAAGGTTATTCTACCTGGCCAATTATTAACAGGAAACACTGAATCATTTCAGACATAGCGCCGGATGCAAGTTATTTAAACATGGCTGCATTCCTGCTCTCTGAAACAATGTGGACTTTGCCACAGTCTGACTACAAACAGCAGGCTGTGACACCAGCAGCTGAAATATCCTTAATGTTAAGTTAATGTGTTGTGACTGTGAGATGAAGGTAGAAAAACATGGCTGGGGTTGTAATAAAATCAAAGATAAGTAAGATATATTTTAAGCTTTAAAAACAGGCTCTGTCAAGTCTAATCAGTGTTTTGAGTCTGGTTTCAGGAGGCATTTGTTAATGTTTAAAAACATGAGTACAGCCTACTCTATTTCCCTGTGAATATCAGATTATGTACTGTATTTCCCTCTCACTGTCAACTTAACTTACTTTACTGTTATGGTCCTCCTTTTTCAGTTTTAACCAGGCCTAAATTTGTGCCACACAGTACAATTCAAACACTGAAACTTTTCTGTGAGAGCAACACTTTGAGCCTGAGCTGTCAACAGCCTACTTTAGTTTTCCACTTTTAAAACAGCCCTGTTTATCAGCTGTGTGGTAGAGTCTGCTGTAAAGTGTTACAAAGGCTTCTCCCTCCTGTACACACACCGAGGTGCAGCTCATGAGGCCTGACACCGACCAGGGAGGAATGTAGTTTCAGGCTGAAGCTAAAACTTGTTCAGCAACTCTGTCTTCAGGACCCAGTCTTATGATACTGTGACACAGATAAAATAAACTGAACGTTAATGGTGGACGTACCTGTTGTTACTCCGGTCCCATCACCGAAACAGTCCGTACCTTTGTGTGAAAGTAGCGCGCTGACTGTTTTAATTTGTTCCTCACAGGTGGAGTGAAAAGTTACCTGGCAGGTGTTTCCAGGTGCCTAATCCACAGAGAGCAGGAAACGGTAAAGAGGTGTCACTCTGATGCTATTTCCACCCACTGAAAACGTCACCAAACGTCGTTTGACGTCTCGTTGTAGTCCTTTTGTCCCAACGGTCACTTCCGTCTGAAGTTCTATATAGAGCCAGTGTATGGTTTTCTCATTCTGGGGCTGGCTGACTCCTCTGAAGAGGATGTCTGCTTCCTACGTAGGCTAGATATGAATGGCTCATTCCAAGGTGACAGAAATCAGATTGTTGGTTACACTGATAAAAAAAATAATAATAATACATCCCCCTAAAATGTACATGCTGGACCTTTAATAGCATGTGCTTTTGATTTAATAATTTTTGCTCTTAATTTAACAAGTCATGTCCTTAATTAGTAATTTGTGGTTGTAATTTAATAGTTTGTGCTCCCTAAAAATTAGTGATGTCAAATAAAAAATTTGTGGTTTACATGTAATTCATGCTCTTGATCTAATCATTCGAGCTGTCGATGGAGGAACATGCGCTCTCTTTTTAATACTGTCTGCCTATTTAATTCATTTATTTGATCTCCATTTAATAATTAACCCCCTCAAATTAGCAATTTGTGCTCTCAAGTATCCGAGCACTTCACAGGCTCCAAACTCTGTCTTTCTTTGTAGGATTTCTTTTTTTTTTTTATGCCTGAGTTATTGACTCAGGATCCATTTACTGTCTCCACAGCTGACTGATACAACAAAACAGCTCTAATTGTTTTTTAATGAGAAAAATGAAATGTTATATATCTATAGAGCTTATCTTAATTAACAGATTTGTTCAGGTAAGTTAAAAAAAAAGAGGGGAAAAAAATATATAGTCCACACTTTCTGCATGCCAACAGGCACTTCCTCTTTGTGTCTTAGCCTTTATCTTGTTGATGTTTAATTATAAAGTAGAAACCTTGATACTTAGAGTACATTATACCGTCTGCAGTTGTGAGTGCATCTTAGTAAAAACACTGGTCATTGTGATAACAAATAATGTTAATGCTCCCAGCACAGTATTTGTTAGCAAAACAGCAGATCAAGTTGTACAGGTTTTCCAGATCAGAGTGATTCATCAGTCAAAACACACACACACACACCTTTCTTTTAGCCTGACTCAACATAGCATCAGTCAGGTTATCAAACAGGGCCAGTGAGGGCGGAGCTGATTCTCACAGTCACTACAATAAACAGAGAAATACTACTGCCTATGTGTTCGCCTACATCATTAGGTTATGTAAACTGCCTGGAGATGGATAATTGAATATAAAGAAATTAACAGGACATAAAGGGACCTTGAGTCTGATCCAAACGTCACACCACATAGTGGAAATTAAAACAGCAAGATCAACATTTTATTTCAAGAGCAAAATCTCACAAATTATTGACTTTTTCTTCAAAACACACAAAATCCAAATATGTCCACTTAAAATGATTTGACGTCACAATGCCGGATTGAATTTTGATGTTGATAACTTGACACACCGAAGCACAATTTGGCATTTAGAAACTTCAATTGTTTGACCAGAACCCTTAAGATGTTAATATAAGTAATAATGATGTCACACAATTTCAACACTAGGTGCTTAAAAAAAAAAAAAAACAAAAAAAAAAAACAAGCACAAAAACAGTAAATGAATGTTTGTGAAATCAGATCACTTGAATTTAAGCTCATGACAGTCCCAAGTTAAAGAAAACAAAAAAGAAAGGGATTCACAGCTACATGTCGACATTAAGAAAATTGAGTAAAATAACTATAGCAATAGTTTAAACTAAAAAGTAAATGTTATAAGCGGAGGAGGAAATCTTCGCGACTGTGAGTGGTGGGAGGGTGTTTGATGCTGAGCTTTTCCTGCTGTCAAGGAATGCGTTAAAAGCAGAACAGCTCATTCAATGAAGTAACGGTAACTGATGGTACATTCAACGCTTTGGCAATTAATAAAAAAAAAATAAAAAAAAATAAAGACACAATAAAATAGTGAAATGGCAATGAGAAACTTATGACATCATTTAGACGTGTTTTATCTCGCAAGCACTCAAGCGTTTCTCGCAGATTCTTCATAGAGAGCCGAAGTGAAACCGCAACATCCGGGTTTTGGAAAAACAGAAATGACGTAAAATCTGGTCTCACTCCACAGGACTACGTGTGGTTCTTATATTGTTGTTTATTCTGCATTTCTGTATTAAGCAGACTTTAACAATTTGATACCAATGAACAAACAAAAAAATTCAAGTTGTAATTCTGTGTGCTTGAGTTAAGTTATCTCGGCAGTTATAAAATAACAAAGTTAATTATCATTAAAAACAGCCAGTTTTTCCACCCTGCTTTCAAACTTGCAGCAAACTGCACGATACATTGTTGCAGTTTTACCCTTGCCGTTTAAAAATTATTACAGTATTTGAATTTACAAGTCAAAAAACGTACACGTCACTACTGGGCAGACTCTGGTTTCAAATAATTTCACCACTGCAAGATGGCAGCTGCGGTATCCAGGACATTTTGATTTCACTTTTGTACGATGGGAGGAAGTGGAGATGCATCATCCATTTTTAAAAACAGTCTATGGTTGAGCCCTGGTTTAGCCCAGTACTAAATACAAGTTAACACACATCAATTATAATTATTTACTCATTCAAATCCCCCTCCGCTATTCCTGTAAAAATATACTGACGACACATTTAGCCACCAGCTAACCCCACCCATCATACAATTCCACACTTGACAGTTAGCTTGTGTGTCTCGGCTAGCAGCACAATCTCATAATAGATGCGAATTGGGAAAAACTTTTACATTTTCAAAAAATGGGATAGAGCCTAGCACTGCTGTGTATTCAGTTTGTCCTAAACCCAGGAACATTTAATTTTTCTCAGAGACAGATGAAAGAATGAGAGATTGTGTTGATTTACAGAGGCTAGTGGAGCAGAGGCTAGCCCAGATGTGTCGTCAAGACTTCGGCTCTCTATAATTGTACTTTTTTTGTCTTTATTTTGTTTTCCCGTCTCTTCTACATTTGTTTGGGCTTTTTTTTTCTCCTCTTCCAAGTCATTCCCCAGCAACTGTTTTACAGTTACAGTTAAACTGACAAACACTACATCTAAAAGCTAAATGAAAACTAGAACAATCAGTCTATAATAATAAACTCTACATGCTAGTTCTAGTAAAAGATTGTTAGTACTACTGCTTACTCAGATGACAGAAATAAAGTACTTTATATAAAAAAAAACAAAAAAACAAAACAAAAAAACAAAAACAAAAACACAATAAGATGGACAAGTTAGTCAGGGAAACAGAAGAGCTGCTGATATCTATCCTACCTGACTGACAAAATGTTAAAAACCGCTTTTAGATTGTTTTCTATGACTTAAACAGCAACTACTACAGCAACTTTTTGGTCAGACCGGGATGGTTCATCAAGCCTGGTTACTAACTTCAAAGCTTGCATCCTGATCGATGGACGTCTCTGTATCTTGCTCGACCTCCTCCTCTTCTTCTTCTTCTTCTTGCTGGACTTCTTCCTCTACTTGTTCAACCTCCTCTTCTACCAGCTCTCCGTCATGCTCCATCTCCTCTTCTACCACCTCTCCTGCTTGTTCCACCGCAACAGGAGACGACTCATCCGTTGCTTTTGAATGGTTGAGTGAGCTGTCCAGCTGTGTTTCACTTCTGACTTTACTTTTCTTGGCTGAACCCTTAGGGCGGCCCCTTTTCCTTGGGGTGCCAGCATCACTTTTTTGAGCACTTGGGGGACGGCCCCTTTTCCTTGGGGATCCGACATTGGGGGTGCGTTGTGTGGACGTAGAGGCAGACAGACCCTTGCGTAAGTGAGCGCCTTTCTTGGACTCTGACTTGCGAGGCCGACCACGGCTTCTGCGAGGGGCTGTGGGAGTGCCCTCTGGAGTATCAGTGCGTGGATATTTCCTTGGCCTTCCCAGTGGCTTCCATACTTTGGGCTTTTTCAGCTCCTCGGGTGACGGTAGAGGGTACTTTCTTGGCCTTCCCCTTTTGGCTGGTTGTAGTCTTGGTCGACCACGCTTCCCTTTCCCGGGCTTGCTTCTTGGAGTTCGGCCTACCTTAACGTGCAGCTTGTATGCAGGGGGTTTTTTGTTTGGGGAGCCTTTAGGCCGTCCTCTTCCCCTCTTAACTGACTGAGAGCCATCTGTGACCATGTCTTTCTGTTGTACATTTTTTCTTGGCCTTCCTCTCCCTCTACCAGACTTTGCCAAGATGCCATTGGGTGTATCTTGTGAGTTATTCACCTGCAACTTTCTTGGCTGACTTCTCCTCTTCATAACGGGGGTACCATTTGCCTCGTCCCCCTCACTGCCCCCCTCCGTCTCCAGCCTAGGTTTCTTATCAAGGGAGCGTCTTTGTTTCTGAGGTGTTACAGAACTGCCTTCATTCTGTTCACCTGTTAGACTTTCTGCCTTGCGCTTCGTAGATCCTTTTGGACGACCCCTTTTCCCTTTTGGTGCATCAGAGCCACCATTTGGTAAGCCTTCAGCATTCTCTGAAGTGCTTGTGCTGAGAGACTTTTTTGGCCTGCCTCTCTTCTTAGGAACATGGTCTGTTGTCGGGCCGTCTTCATTACCGGCTTCTTTAATTTGCACATCTTGGTCAACTTCTACTCCTTGCTGCTCTATGTTTTTTTTTAGTTTAGGACGTCCTCTTCTCCTCGGGGTCTGTGGGGGCCCACCGTTGGAAATTTCGGAACCCGGCTCTTCTTGGTTAACGTCTGTAACACAAACCTTCAGCTTCTTTGAGCCTTGCGGCCTCCCCCTTCCTCTTTTAACTGGACTGTTGTTGGGTTCTTCTACAGCAGGCTCTCCCTCATTGCTCGCCACATCTCCTTGTTCTGTCTCAGCCTTACTTATCTCTTCTTCCATACTGCTGCCGTCAGCTCAGACCGCCTCTGTAAGGTTTGCACCTGTAAATTAGACATTGAAAAACACAATTAATATTTAATAACTTATTCTGTGCATTAAACTTTTCAGTT